TTTTCTTTCTTTTGTTTTTTTTAGGTACCTGAAACACCGTCACAATAGCCCAGAGTAACGAGTCAAAGTTTTTTCTATCACACTCGACGTCAGAGCTGCCTTTCATCGTTTCACAGAATTTGCAACCAAACAGGTTCATCCCGAGAATACTACAACACAACGAAACGTGCAATGTACTTCCTTATCCGTAAATATATAGACAGATAGATAGATGGGGAGGTATGATTTTGCGGAAGAGAGAATCACGAATGAGGGTGGGGCTGGTAGACAGTTCGTGAGATTTTTAACAAAATTACATGAAAATAATTAGTGATTAAATTCTGTTTATAAAATTACGACAATCAGGTTCGTTCTTATAGCTTCTGTTTATGGTTTAAGCAAGGGACTTCAGAATTTGGACGAAGAAACGAGATATTCAAAAATTTATCTTTTGGTTATGTTAAGCTTTTTTAATAAAAAAAATAGTATTTTATAGACGCTTTTACGACGGTGCACATTCACGATTTTCGCGTTTGTTCGCTATAAAATTGTAACGAGTCTCGAGCTTCGATCTGAACAAAATGGCACCTCGTTTGAAAGTTAGTTCTAGACAAAATGGCGCCGCGTCTCGAGGAACTATCCAAAGCGAACAGGATTTATTTCCACGTTACGAGAATTTATTTCAATTGTAAACTGAAATCTTCTGAAATTACTGGATGCATTACACAAATCACAATTTCCATTATTGAATACAAAGATTGTTCAAAACGAAACAGATTCTATTTCGGGTATTAATCAGAAATGTAATCAACGTCGTAATTCTTAGCCCCAATGTTTTGTCCATTTCACGTAATAGACATTATAGATAAATTTATCATAATTTTTTTTATGAAAAAACGGAAAATAAATTGAATGAAGAATGGATAAATAAAGCGCAATATTCTAAACTGAAATCTGTATGTAGTGACATTTAGATCGCTGATGATGTATCGATGAATATCAGGCCATTAAACTCAGATATTGCAAATACAACCATTACTTATCCCATAAGTAATGTCGTTCTGCCACGATAGAAATTACAGGGTGGCTACCATGTTAAGAATTACAAGATGGCAGCCATGTTAAAAATTGTAAGATGATCGCCAATAGAAGCCCACAGTAATACTTCATACCACACGAGTTGAAATATGAAATTGAAACACTGGCAGTTTGTCAAAAGTGTACTTCTTTCCGATATTATTGAGTATATATAAAATTAATTATCATTTTCCCGTTGAAAATCTTTGTTAATATTGAATAATTATTGATACTTGAAACAGTCATTTTAATTTCAGATTCAAGTATGCAATTTGTCTTGTAACGAAAAAACTGAAATATTACCAATACTTTTACACATAATGAGTGCTTCTGTTATTAATCAGTAACAGATTACCCAATTATCCCTATTTACTTTTATTTCTTTCTGTTCATACATACTCTGAATGGTTTCAACGAATAAATACAATAAAGTCGCGTTAACTGCGCAGAAAGACTCCTACGATAACTTTGCATGCGTTATCCCCATCACTGGCGAGATCTCCCTGGAACCAGTGAAAGCTTCTCTTTCACGAGCTGACGGCTGAACGAGGGGAATAAAAAAAAAGATTAAACGCTGACGCGTCGGTGAAACAATGCTAATGTAACTCTCCACCGTCTCGACTCTTATCTTCTAGAAATTATATTGTATTTACAAAGGCGAGCAACTGTTGCCCGGCTGAAAATTTATAAGAGGTTGAAATGCTGACCGTTCACGCTTACTGCGCGCATGCGGCCCCGAGTTTCGCGCAGTTAACGCGACTTTACTTTATACTGCAAGAAACATATTCGTATCTATCTTATCTTTTTCTTGTATATTAAATTCGATATTAATATATGAATAAAGGTTCATTTCTTGCAAAAGAACTATGAAGTTAGCTTCGTAACAGCACGACAGTTACTTATGGTATACAAGCCTGACATCCAAACAGGCGGCCGAAAGAAACTATTTATCAGACTGCGAAAGGTCCATTCTTAACCGTGGGGTGATAGAGGGTGGGGGTGGAGTGGGGGTAGGTAAAAAAATGATGGTCTTTCATTCGCAAGCTGTCTAATATCGATGACCACACCGAGGCGCACGCACTTTCGTAGGCACTTGGAAACAATATATAGAGTACACAGCAGAAACAAAATAATAAAAGGAAGAGAACGGTAGCGACAGTAAGAAAAAGAGACGTACGAATACACGAATAATCAATAGGTAATAATAGAGATATATATATACATATAGCTCTCTCGTACTCATCGCTAGATAAAAGAAGCACCATGCACCACCATGAGAATAATTTACCTGTATACATGGTTTCCCATTTAAATCGACTCACTCGAATATCTCCGAAACTGTTGGCGATATTAAAAGCTGTTTCAGACAAAACTTAAATTGTATCAGGGGACACACTTTCCGATGCGAGTAACTTTTTTCTATGCGGACATGTAGGAGTCGTATGAAGGTCAACTTTTTTCTGTATATGGAATCTTAAATTTTTGAATGCACTACTTCGCCATAATATACAGGGAATAACAAGTAGCATCACAAACGATGCATTAAAAAATACACGAATCGATTTAAAAAAAGAACAAATTTTACCTTCATATGACCTGTTCGCGTCCCCATAGGAAAAAGTTACTCATATCATAAAATGTGCCCCCTGATACCATTTAACTTTTGCCTGAACCATTTTTCAATATCGTCAACAGTTTCGGAGCTATTTGAGTGGGTCGATTTAAATAGAATACCCCGTATATATATACTTATATCGATAGTTCATATATGTATATACGTATATAATAACAGGTGTCCTCTAAGAAACGGTCAAAAGTAATATACACGTTCGATGCCTCAAGCCATGAGAAAGGGCCAACAAGACATCCCTCGTAGACGTGCCAACAAAAACACCCATCGGCCATTACCATTGAACAACGTCAGAAAATCAACAAAAAAAAAACAAATGCCGCTCGATAAACGCTCATGAGGATATCGAAGAGGGAAAAAAAAATACAGTTGGAAAAAAAACGTGAGGTCAGGTGAACAATCAGAGCTGGCAGTATATATATAT